GCCGAGAAGCGATGCTCCGATCCTAGTGGGATTTAAAGTCTTATTCAGCACAGATGCCTCTGCTATCATTCATCCTCACCGTGGATTGCCAAGGCAAAGCCTGCCAGCCACATACAAGAAGAGAAGAAGAAGAGATTAGATTTATGCCCCGCCCTTCACTCGGAGTCTCAGAGCGGCTTACGAGAACATGAAGGCAAAAATGTCACTCATTTCAAAGAAGTCCCATTCTCTACTGCCCTAGGGGACCTGTCGTTTCCTATAGCCCCCACCACTGAAATCTAGGGAAACCCTGAGAAGACTAATAAACGTCATTAGCTGGTGCTTAGTCCTTCCCACTGTATTTCGGTGGGTGGATTTATGATGCTAAAACCAAAGGCAGTGTCTAGAAAAGAGGCGTCCTTTTCTCCCTCCTTCATGTTTCCTCTTTGGAGGCTACGGTGGGGTGTGGTGGGGAAGCCAGTGTGGGTTCAGTGGTTAAGAGTGTAGGACTAGTACCTGGGAGACCCAGGGTGGAATCATCACTCATGCCACAGAAGCTCGCCGGGTGATCTTGGGCCAGTCACATGCTCTCAGCCTAACCTACCTCACGGGGTTGTTCTGAAGATAACAGGCAGGAGAGGAGAATGAGGCAAGCCCCTCTGGGTTCCCACTGGGGGAGAAAGGTGGGATATCAATGATTTAAATCAATAAATACGTCCAGCTATTTATCTTATGGAAAAGGACAGTCAAAGACCTCACACCTGTCTTATGACATTTCTGCCATTTGATTCAGCACATATTTGTGCTCAGCTAAAAGAGCAGACAGTAAAGTTTTGTTTCGTTTCGTTAGCTATACCCTGCCTTTCTCCCCAATGGGGACTCAGAGTGCTTTACACTGTCCTCCACTCCTCCGTTTTATCCCCACGACAACCCTGCAAGGTAGGTCAGGCTGCAACTGCGGGACCGACCCAATATCACCCAGCAAACTTCCATGGCAGAGCAGGAATTCGAATCTGGGTCTCCCTGAGAGACTCATTCTGGGTGGGGAGTGAACCCAAGGCAACTTCTAGATTGTCATTATTCAGAGCCAGAGAGAAGCTGCATTTGCTACTTCCTCGAGGAATTTGGATCGGGGATCACAGCTGCATCTCCAAGAGACTCCGCCTCAACATGTTTGTGCAGATCCATTTGAACTGGCGTCTTCTCCTCATCGCTTTGTTTACAGTGATGATTGGCAGGTGGGAAGTGGACAGGCAAGTCCACGCAAATGCAGCCGAGCTGGCAAAAGGCAGCCGGTGAAAAGCAAGCAAAGACTGCTGGGACGCGATCCCTCTACTCTTTCCATTGAGCTTCCCAGCCACTGACTACCCTCAGCCCGCTTGGGGGAGGGCGGAACAAAAAAATAATAATCCGGAAAATAAATAAATAAATAATACCTCCAGATTCCCTGCTGCTGCAGCACACAGAAGGCAGAAGGGATAGCAACTCCGCAGCTTGGTGTAGAGACAGAATTGATAGCAACTCTGCAGCCAGTGTGGTGTAGGGGTTAGGAGCACGGGCTCTAATCTGGGAGAACTGGGTTCAATTCCCCACTCCTCCACATGCAGCTACTGGTGTGACCTTGGGTCAGTCACAAGCTCTTTCAGAGCTGTTCTCTCAAGGGCAGTTCTCTCAGAGCTCTCTCAGCCCCACCGACCTCACAGGATGTCTGTTGTGGGGAGGGTAAGGGGAAGGGAAAGGAGATAGTAAACCACTCTGAGACTCCTTTGGTTAGTGAAGGGTGGGGTATAAATCCAATCTCTTCTTCTTCTTCTTCTTCTTCTTCTCTTCTTCAGGTACACCTTGAAAAATCCAGCGACTGGGCTGGTTGAATATGGTGTTGCGCTCATCAAAGCATTCTTCACATGCCCTCTACACATACATGACAAACGCACACTTCCAGGACCACACGCTCGGAAGCTGGGACTGGTCACCACCACACATTGTCACAATGCAATGCGTGAAGAAGCTCAGAGATTCTGGATCTATGATTATGATGGGGGTGTTGGGAATCAAGGACGGTACGCCATCTCCCGCCTCAGACAACTAAGGAAGACTACAAGAGAGTTAGGGAGATAGAGAGGCCTACTCACAGGGCATTCTTTCTTCTCTACTCTGCTGTCCCCTGAGTGATACTCTCAGAGATTATTTCCTTCCTTCCGGTTTCTTCCCCCCTCTCCCACACCACACTGCATGTTCTCTCCATCTTGGCAACACGAGAGCAGGATGCTTTTCCTGTATCTCAAACCATCTAGTTAGTTAGATCAGACCAGAGAATCTCTCTTTCATCTCTCCTTTCTAGAAATGGAGTTCATATAATAAAACTCCTATATTAGTTTTCAGATATAAAGATGCTTCGTGCTACTTTTGTTTTCATGCTTGCATACACGCACCGTGACCAGGGGGGCTCTGCTGAGTTAAAGCCTTGGGTGCCCTGCTAACCAGAATTCCCTGCAGGGGGTACTAAAGGAGTTTGCATCAGCCCTAAAGAGAGCTCTGGCTGTGCCCAAGTACATGACTGATTGTTCACGTAACATTCCTAGCAGGTAGGAAGCTGTGACAGACTTCACCTTCCTGGGATCCAAAATCACTGCAGATGGTGACTGCAGCCCTGAAATTAAAAGACGCCTGCTCCTTGGGAGGAAAGCGATGGCGAACCTAGACAGCGTGATAAAAAGTAGAGACATCACCCTGCCAACAAAGGTCCGCATGGTCAAAGCAATGGTATTCTCGGTAGTAATGTATGGCTGCGAGAGCTGGACCATAAGGAAGGCTGAGTGCCGAAGAATAGATTCTTTTGAACTATGGTGCTGGAGAAGACTCTTGAGAGTCCCTTGGACTGCAAGAAGATCAAATCAGTCAATCCTAAAAGAAATCAACCCTGACTGTTCCCTGGAAGGCCAGATAATGAAACTGAAGCTCAAATACTTGGGCCACCAAATGAGAAGGGAGCACTCCCTGGAGAAGACCCTGATGCTGGGAAAGACTGAAGGTCAAAGAAGAAGGGGACGGCAACGGATGAGGTGGTTAGACAGTGTCATAGATGCAATGAACATGAAATTAAGCAAACGCCGGAGTATGGCGGAAGACAGGAGGGCCTGGCGTGATGTGATCCATGGACTCGACTGTGCAACTGAACAACAACAACAAAAAGGCCCCAGAGGCAATGGGCAACCCACTGCCTGCTTGTTTCTTAAAATGAAGAGGTAGCAGGGCTCAAGCTCCCTGAAGAGCCACACTTTCCAATCTGGACACCATTCTATGGAGTCAAAAACGCTTGATACAGGGGAAAGAGAGCCCTGACCCGGGTAGCCCAGGCAAGCCCGATCTCGTCAGATCTCGGAAGCTAAGCAAGGTCGTCTCCAGCAAGTACTTGGATGGGAGACCTCCTTGGAATACCAGCAGTAGGGAGGCGGGGGCAGGCTTTATTCAGCCACCTCCCTGACTATCCTCCAGGCCCCCAGTAGGGGTCAGTCACCAGAGGTCTCCATGACTACCAGGTGCACCCACACTCACAGGCCACACACATCCACGTATTTTTTTTAAAATACAAAATATATAGGGGGAAGAGGAAGAAGCCAAAAGTTGGCAGGCTGATGGCAGGGCCTTGGTGAGGCCACCTACTAAGTACCTGTGGTGATGGTGATGGTGGTGCGTTATTACAGCACCATGCCGTAGCAGCCCAGAGGCCCTGTTCCCCAACCACTTATGTCGGTACTAACCCGCATCAGAAGCTACGGCAGAAGCCTCTCCCGGGCTTCCCACGCCGCCGCAAGCCCCGCCACCGGATGAATCAGAAAGAGCAGCGGTCTGCTCCCCGGTATCTATGCCTTCAGGACAAGCTGTCCTATGTAAAGCAACTTGGCAACCACACAGACAGCCATGGTTTTCAGAAAGCTGTAACACAAACATCCAGGTGTTCTTCAGGCGTGTAGAAAGATGCAGGAATGTTGACACAAGCGGCTGATTCACAAGTCCTGTGACAGGAAGAACCGGCGGAGGATCTCAGGTGTGTGGGGTATTTTTTCTTTTTTAAACCTAGTGGAAATTTTTTCAGATTAACTCCCTGTTGTACGCAAACGTCCTTACCCTGAACAGCTAGCGACAGCAGGACCCCCTCTTTTACCCCACTGTCTCTCGTTCGGTTGGCCCACTGGCTTGAGCCCTTCCTTGCCTCCCTGTTAGCACCGGGACTTCAATCCTCCTTTCGGCTCCTGAGCAGAAGTACAGATACCCCTGAGCCACTGGGCAGAATCCAAGGCCTGACACTTTGCCACCCCTGCGAACGTGCTGGTCAGCTGCAACCTCAGCCAAGAGTATTTCCATCGCTATGGGAAATACGTCCAGACAAGAAAGACACAATCAGGTGAGCCGGTCAAGGGAAAGGATTTGTCTTTCAGCCAGACCACCTTGTAAAACAAAAGCAATTGGGGAGAGGGAAGGGGAACATACACATGAACACATGAAGCCGCCTTATACTGGATCAGACCCTTGGTCCTTCAAGGTCAGTATTGTCTACTCAGACTGGCAGCAGCTCTCCAGGGTCTCACGCAAAGGTCTTTCACAAAACCTATTGTCTGGTTCTTTTAACTGGAGATGCTGTGGATTGAACCTGAGACCTTGTGCATGCCAAGCAGCCGCTCTACCACTCAACATAAGAACATAAGAGGCGCCATGCTGGATCAGGCCAATGGTCCACCCTGTCCAAAACTCTAAGTCACACAGTAGCCAAAACCCAGGTGCCTTCAGGAGGTCCACCAGCGGGGGCAGAACTCCAGAAGCCCTCCCACTGTGGCCCCCAAGCACCAAGAATACAGAGCATCACTGCCCCAGACAGAGTGTTCCATCTATACCTTGTGGCTAATAGCCACTGATGGATCACTGCTCCATATGCTTATCCGATCTTCTCTTGAAGCTGTCTATGCTTGTAGCCAATACCACTTCTTGTGGCAGTGAATTCCACGTATTAATTACTCTTTGGGTGAAGAACTAATTATTCTTTGGGAGAAGAAGTAATTATTCTTTGGGTATCAGCTCAACAGCCATCTCAAGCACTTCCTCTTGGGATGTTCCAAGGCAATAAATAGTTGGTCATCAATAAGGCAAGGATATGGACCAAAAGAAGCAAAACTGTTTGTGTTCTGGCATGGGTTCAACGTTTTTAGTTCAACAGCATCTGTTTGACAGCTGTCCAAGCAAGGCTACAAGCATGGACAGCTTCAAGAGGGAACTGGATAAACATATGGAGCAGAGGTCCATCAGTGGCTATTAGCCACAAGGTGAACAACAACAACAACAAATAGATAGGAACTCACAGGCTGGGGCAGGTGATGTACTGTATTCTTGGTGCTTGGGGGGGCAAGAGCGGGAGGGCTTCTAGTGTCCAGGCCCCACTGCTGGACCTCCTGATGGCACCTAGTATTTTTGGCCACTGTGTGACAGAGGGTTGGACTGGATGGGCCATTGGCCTGATCCAACATTGGCTTCTCTTATGTTCTTATGTAAGTTCAGACTCTTGAAAATCAAACTGGAGAAGGGAAAGTAGTCTGCATCTTCCACTACAAGGCTAGATGACAAGGGTTCACTGGGTAGGAAGCCGGGAGTAAGGGAGGGGGCCCTGGCAGTGCCAAAAAATCCTCCTGGTAGCACCTGCTAGCTGGTTCTATTGTACAGCACCTAGCACAAAGAAGCCACACATCCTAAGACACTACCAACGGCCCACTACGAATAATGCAATACTGCTAACTAAATGCCAATGAGGACACGGTTCTGCAATTTTAATAAATGTGCTGAGCAGGGAACGTCAACAGAGGTGTCACGCAATTTTTAAATTAGCTGTTGTAGATTTTCTGGGCTGTATGGCCGTGGTCTTGGCATTGTAGGACCTGACATTTCGCCAGCAGCTGTGACTGGCATCCTCAGAGGTATAACACAGAAAGGTGGAGTACTCTCTGTGTCGAGGTGAGAAGAAAAATGGTAGGCAGGTAATTTATATCTACTCAGGAAGGTGGGGTAGGGCTGAGTCATGCCACCTCTCCAGACCTGCTGGAGGCAGCTCGTCAACGCAATACAGCAAAACCAAGCAACACCAAGAAACCAAGCCAATAAAAACAAATCGCAACAATAATTAAAAAAAACCAAGACCAAAGAGATTCAAAACCTGTAGCACCTCAGACACCAGCCTTAGAGAGTGTGCACATGTGAAGTGCTGTCAAGTCGTTACCAGTTACTGATCTCCAGAACATCCTCTCATTAACAGCTTTGCTCAAGTCTTGCAAACGGAGGGTCGCGGCCTCCTTTATTGAGTCCATCCATCTCGTGCCAAGTCTTCCTCTTTTCCTGCTGCCTTCAGCTTTTCCCAGCATTATTGTCTTTTCCAGTGACTCTCGTCTTCTCATAAAGTGACCAAAGTACAACAATCTCAGTTTAGTCATTTAGCTTCTAGGGAGAGTTCAGGCTTGAGATCAACCTCAGAGACCACCAAGATTTGGGGGATATCTGATGAAGGGAGATTTGACTCTCGAAAGCTGGTACCCCGAAAATCCTGTTGGTCTCTAAGGGGCTACGGGACTCGGATCCAGCTCTTCTACAGCAGACCACCATGGCGACCCTCTGAAATGGCAAAGTGTCCAGCCTTGTCCTAGACAGAATAACACCCTACTCCACCCCTTAAGGAGCTGCGGTGGCTCAAGTGGTTAAGATGCTGAACTGCAGGCTGTGGAAGGTCGGTAGGTCAGCAGTTCGAGACCTGAGTGTGCCACATGATGGAGTGAGCTCCCGTCTCTAGTTCCAGCTCCTGCCAACCTAGCAGTTTGAAAGCAAGAAATTGCAAGTAGATAAATAGGGACCACTTCAGTGGGAAGGTAACAGCGTTCCGTGCACCTTGGTGTTAAGTCATGCCGGCCACATGACCACGGAAACGTCTTCGGACAGCGCTGGCTCTTCAGCTTTGAAACGGAGATGAGCACCGCAACCCTAGAATCGGATTCGACTGGCTTTTGAGCAAGGGAACCTTTACCTTTTACCACCCCTTAAGGATGAGCATTGCGGTTACTTTAAAGAGACTTCTAGATCCAAGTTTGACCTTGGATGCTTCAGTAACACCACATCCAGGTTTGACTTCAGATGCTCAAGTGACATCGGAGGCATCCACCAACTCCGCCACCTACAGTCCCTCCTGAGGGGTTGGTCCCGCCCCTATTATCCATGCTTCGCTAATGCGCAAATTGGATCACCGCTGTGTGTTGTACAAGGGGCTTTAGCCCCTAGAAACTTCAACTGGTTTAAAAGAGGGCAACTAGGTTAGAAACCAGGAATGTGCTGGCCATTGCACTGGTGCTGAAAGGACACCTCCGTTCATTCCCAGTATGTTTCCAGTGCCAGTCTTTGACCTATCAGGTTCTCAATGGGCTGAGACCACCAGGATATCAGAAGGACTGCCATCTCCCATTACAAAACTGCTCTTTGCCTCATCAGAGGCTCAGCTCTACTCTGAGAGCCCCGACTACCGGAGGTTAGGCAAGTGGCAACCCAGGGGCTTCTCAGTGGCAGGACCCCAACTGTGCAACGCCCTCCCTAGAGGGATTCCCGTGGTGTTCAACTGACAAATTAAAATGACTTTGTTTGCCTGGGTCTCTGGCAAACTAGGATGAGAAATCTTCTGCTATTCTCTTACCGCTGTTAACTGGGTTTTGACCCTGCACTTTAGACCGCTGTTTTTACAAGATTTTTCTTTCCATTGTTCTTACATTTTTAAAACTGCCTTGGGGGATACATCGTGGTCAGACGGCGTGGGTATATTTGTCACAGGGAGCAGTGGCGCAGGCGGTAAGTGAAGCCTCCATTACATCTGGCCGAGCAGCTTTGGCTGTTCGAGCCCCACCGCGGCTGGAGTGAGCTCCCGGCCCTATGTCCCAGCTCCCGCCCACCCAGCGGCTCGAAAGCCTGTTAAAGGGCAAATAGACAAATTGGGTACCTGCTCTTTGAGCGGGGGGGGGCACCCGTCCCTTGTGTTGTGGCGGCGGCGGCGTGAAGCGAGCGAGCGACGAGTGGCGGCGGCAGAGAAGCATGGCGGTGGCTGGCGAGGCTGGCGAGCGAGAGGAGGCCGGGCCGACAGATGCAGAGGTTGGGTGACGCGACAGGCCGGAGCCTGATGGACAGAGGCCGACAGCGAGCATGCGCGGACGTGTGCTCGGCCCAG